TGGAGATGGCCTGGCGCCCCCTTCACCATGTCTCGGCCGAAGCGGGAGGGGGGGGACGGCGGCAGGGAACGGCTTTATTTTTGGGGGGGAAGGGGAGGGTTATGGTAGGCTTTGCGGGGCTCAGGAAGGAGCGAGTGCTTTGCCTCTTTGGGCCCAGGAGACGGTGTGTTGCTGGTTACTCGGGTGCCCTCGCGGTTTACTGGGCCTCGGAGATCTTTGTACTAAAAACCGCATTTAATCTTGTCGATGCGTTCAGGAAAACGTTGAAACTCCCGAAAAGCACCTCTCACGGGTCCTTGTAAGCGGAGTGCTGTGAATGCACAACAGGTTGCTTAAGGTGTTTCTGGAGATGCTCGAGAGTCGGGCAGTCCTGTGAGGCCTGTCTGCCCCTGCCAGGGGCAGGTCCACAGCAGGGAGCAGCTCTGCAGCAGTGGCGTGGCCTTGTGCGGAGGAGGGCTCGGGGCTGCAGCGGGAGCCCGAGCCCTGATGTTCTCCCCTTTTTCTGAGGCCTGGAAGCAGTTTATTTCTCAGCTTTTAAGAAAAGTATAGGAAGATGGGGTTTGATACTAGTCAGTGCATTGCAGTAATCTGGAAGAGAGTGCCAGATGACATGTGGGGATCTCTTTTAGTTTTCATCTTGATGTGTAAAGGACTGGTAAAGGGGGAAGTAGAGCTGTTGTACCACTGCTCTTGATTTTTTCCCCTCCCCAAACTCCCCTCTCCTGCCTTGTCTTTTTTGCTTGCTTTGGGAGTATGTGATTTCTTGGAGAACTTCCTCTTGGAAAAGCTGGGGAGAAAAATGCATTGTTTTGCCATTAGCACAGCCTGTCTTGTTTTCGGTCAGTTCTGTGAAAACTAGCCTTTTTATCGAAAGGCTGGAAAAAGGCAAAGATAACCTGTTTCTAACATGATGGAGAGGAAAACAGTTAAAGAATAAGGGTGCGCTAGATTCTGGAGGCTAACCAACCTCTTAAACAGTGGTGCATGTTTTTAAAGAAGCGTGTAATGTCATTTGCAATCAGGGTATGGAGGAAAATTTGCCTTTTATGATCTTCTAATGTAGCAGATACCGTTATTGTATTGCTTTATGTAGAAATTATGCGTGAGTCATTTAAAAAGGGAAAACACACTATTATCCTTTTCCCCCTTTCTTTATCCAAAGACTCCTCGCTCCCCCATCCGTCATTCGGTTATCCTGGGCCTATCTGATCCTAGTTGTCAGAAGCTAAATTTGTAGTAGGTAATGTCTCCTTATAAAAAAATAACTGTAGTGTGATTATAAGAAAGCTAAACTCAACTAGGACTTACATGTACCATTGTAATGTCATTGTTTGCTTTCTTCTACATTACGTAGTCACAAAAATACCTTTAAGAAATACAAAAAAATATGGTGTATTAAATACTTTGTTTTTAGACTGGTTATCAAAGACAGGTGGAGAAGCTTAATAGAAATTCTTTCTCCTAAATTTTTTGAAGTGTTTAATATAGATATAGTTTAAACAAGCCTTCCTAATCTAAATAAAATGAAATTTGTCTTTCAGGTCGATAGTGTCAATTCATTCACCTGCAAGAACCTTCTTGGTTGCCTCTGACTACAGAAATAAGTTCAATTCTGAGGCAGAATTTCTAGTTTTTTCATTTTTCCAAGTCAAGACGGTAGGCAAAAGGTAATCAAAATAGATTTTCTTTCCTAGTTTAGGCTTATTGGGCAATTTAGGAAAAAAGTTATTTGAATGGCAGATGTTCAAATTCAAAAGATTATATAACATAATAAATCTTCAGTTTTTTTTCTATAATCCATGCATGAGTTCAAGTGGCAAGTGACACTGGATCCTATTTTAAGTAGTGTCACTTTTTCTCCTTCTTGTTCCATATCAGCACTGGATAATATTTCTGTAGTCTCAACTCTCGAACTCACGATGATTTCCTTTGACTCTCTTACTGTAACAGTTACTTGCTCTGTGTTATGAAGTCTCTTGGAGAAAACAGAATTTCAGTACTACTATTAATTAGTTGTCTTTGTTCTTGTTTCTGATATTCTTTTTCTCCAAAACAATCATAAGTTCCTTCTAGCCCTGAAATGCCTAGTTTGACAAAGGGGATGGGGGAAGGAGAAGAGTGAAGTCCTAGTTACAGCTTGCAGTTCAGTTATGATAGTGGGAGACTTCTCAGCCTGGCAGCACCTCAGCCGTTTTCAGTGTTTCAGTTTCTTTAGCAGCTAAACGGAGTGGGAAAGATGCAAAACTCTTATTTACTTCACTAAAGGAGATAGTAAAAAGCAACTATGCAAGTATGTGTGGATATATACTGAGCTCTAATACAGCCAGCAGATTGTTATAAGGGGTAGACTGATGTTAATTAATTAGCCCTGGTTTGAATTAGGTTAACTCTGTTAGAAAATACCTTAATTTCTATCAGCTGTCCTGTCCCCTTTCTCCAAGCTTACAGACCTACATACTGACAAAAATGTTTTTGAAAAAAGCTAATGTCGCTTGAGTGGAAGGAGAAATGACAGAAGTGTCTGATTGTGTCTCTCCCTGTAAATTTTTTTTTTGGCATGATGTACCATTTCTCTTCTAAGAAGGCTTCTGTATTAGGGTTTTTTTTCTTTTTTCTGCCCAAATATTTAATGAATAGTATATTCCCTTGTCAAATGCAACTAATGAATGATAGACTGGTCTTCTCACTTAATTTATGTGAAGCTGAATGCTTTGTATTGATTTCTGCTGCTTTTTTGAAGTGTGACGCTTCAAAATGTTAGAGGAAACTAAAAAGCTGATTGGTAAATCCCTTCAGCCGGCACGGCCTGTGCGTCATTTGTCGTCACAAAATGGTGAGTGTCGTGGTTAAGATGCAATTAATTTAGCTGAAACTTAAGTTACTTTAAGGGAAATAACAAGACTGTGCATGGTATCTCAGTTTGGGTTGTGCTTTATTTACTCATTTATTTATTCCTATGTTAAAACTACAGTGGTATATGATATCTTGCTGCGTGCTGATCTTAGTATATCACCTCTATGATAAAATCTGAATTTAAGCGACATCGGGTCCACGCAGAATTCTTTTTAAGTATTATTATTCTGGTTTGGCGTCTGAAATTATGGCTTGCTTTAGGAAGCTGATGCAGTCATCTCTATTAAATTGGGGCATCCTGGGTTAGTTGTTAGTTGACTGTTGCTGTTAAAAACATAAACAATTTAAGAAATGGTTTACTGTTTAGGTCTAACTGTTAGTACAGTATACTGCACTGTACCATTCTTACTGTGTCTTGGTACAGGTTAAGAAATGCCTTCCAGAAAATTATGCAGTATTTACATCGAGTGCTTGGGAGTTTTTTGTTCATTTTTGTTTGTTTTTAATCCCTGTTTAAATCTTCTAGCTACTGCAAGATTATAGCTATTACTGTTGTCATTATTAAGTTACAAATTTTTGATGGCCAGAGAAACAGCGATGGCAGCGCTGATGTGGAGAGAAATTAAGTAACACCATAAACTTATGTTATGTGTTAGAACTCATGAAAGAAATGGAAAATTTGTCGTATGGTGATTTAGCGCTTTTAAGAAGTTAAAAAGTGGCTGGATCATCTCTTTGCAATCTGATTCCATTGTTCAGGTAGCAAGCGTTCACAAAACAAAAAGGTAGAGTCTGTGCTGTTTTTTCTTAATGTTTTCTTTTTCCCCACTAGAGTCAGTGATTGCTTTCAACTTTCAGACTGAATTACCTAGCAACACTCCGGTATGCTTGCAGAGTGAGGTTGGCTGGGTGAGTATTAGGTAAATGCAATAAGGACAAGGATAGTAGATGACTAAGCTGACAAAGGAGTGCGTTCCAGAGTGTCATAAATTGGAAGTCAGCTGACCTCCTTACCTTTCCAAGTGAAAAGTGTGTAGTATTTCCAGTATTAGCAGTGCTCTTGAGTTTGTATGTTGCAAAACAGAGAAGTTTTAGAAGTGTTAAAAATAATCCTTAAGCTTCAGGATGCCTTTTTCTGATATTTATGTGCACAGGTAGCTGAGCAACACCTTTTTTGAGTTACGTAAAAAGGAGTCTTAAGTCTGTGTGGCTTTTCCTTGGTCTTCACTGAGTTTACGATTTAGCTATTTTAATCTTAAAGTACACATAGCTATTCAGTCTTTGCTTATTATATTTAGTGAAGAATGTTAGAAGCTTTTTTTTTTTTAAGTTTTGTTAACACAGACATACATTTGAGGCAGCAAACTTCACAAAACTAGATTTTTTAAGCTTTTCTAGATGTTATGTGTCTGTGTATATGTGTAAAATACATATGTCTACATATAATATGTATGTCTAGTGTATATATCTGTATATATGTGTGCGTGTATGTGTGTACATATATGTATCTACATAATAAATAGAATATCACCAAAATGCTTCCTATTACTCTTCTGTATGCCTATATTCTGAAACTCTGTTTTGTTGACTCTGCTGGAGGAGGAAGTAAATGTGGCTTAACGTTTGAAAAACAGAAGCACTCCAGTATCAGGCTTTACTGCCAGAAATACTTGGTTTTAGACACATGACAATATGTCTTTTAAACATGAAGTTGGTTGCAGCTGTTTGCGGCAAATTTAAGTGTAGTGTTTCAGCTGGAATGCTTAATTTTTTCTAGTCTGAATTTGATCTTTCTGTTGATATTGGTATGAGTGTCCTTTAGGTTTCAGTAAGCAGTGATTATCATCAAGGCTCTGGACGTTTTCTTTGTCTTCTCCTGCGTGTCCCTGGTAGTATGTGATGGTATTCGTATTATCTCTAACATGGAAGGTTCAAAGCATATTGGAAGACTTAGATTATGAAAAGAAAACGGTCCCTTTCAGAAGGCTTGCAAAGTCAGCTGTCCCTCTAGTCATGTACTCAAGGAAGCAGGCTCCTGTTGTTTGAAGCGCTTCTCACAAGTGAAAATAATTTTGATTCCTTATGTTGAACCTGAATTCCGAGTTTGTAATTTGATCAAAATGGGGTTTTCTAGTTTGAGGTGTATTTTAAATAGTTAAGGCTGGATAGGCTTTCAGATGAACCGTTCCTTAATTTGCACATGCATTTTTTTTTGAGACTGAAAGCTTGACTTCTGTTTCCACAGATGTTTTTTTAAGAGTCTTGAGGATTTCTCTTTATTTCTCTACCTCTTCTTAGCATTGGTGAGCTTATCTCTTAAAGCAAATTACGTTCAAAATTGGAGGTGTGTGGGAGGGAGAAGTGTTGTTGATGATATGTATTGGATGTTGTTGACAGTTATTCCCAGTTTATGAGTATTTTAAAGATAAATTGGTCAACAATCTTTACTTTCCCTTCACGTCTTCAGGAATCCCATATTTATTTCTACATCTTCTGCTTTTTTTTTTTATTTAACATGAACTAAATAATTACACTCGTTTCATTTTTTCCGGCTGAGAAAATAAGTCTTAATGTAATATCTAGAAATCCATATTTACAGCCAGTTCTGAAGCAAGAAAAAAAATATTTAATCCCCCCCCCCCCTTTTTTTTGATAGAGTCTGTAGTTGAGATGCATTAGTTTCTTTGCAGTAGACCTCATTGTTCAAGTGCGCAGGTGAATGTACCTACAAATTAAGAAAATATAGGAGTACTTTTAGGTAATGTTCTTTATTACAGTATTTCATGACTGGTTTTTTTTGTTTGTTTTTTAAAGCAGTGTCGTAAAAAGTGTGGTTGGATAATGTTGCCAGCAGCAATAAGGAATTAATTCTATGCGTATGGATGAGTAATGCACTCTTGCCTTTTCCTCACACCTTGGAGAGAGGAGAGTGAACTACTGCATCTTGTGGCATGACTGTTCCAAAAATAATCTTGTCTTGGCTTCCTTAGCCAAACCCATTAAAAAAGCCTGAAATTACTGCTTATAGACGTTTTAGGACAAGTATCTATTCCTTCATCTTTCTTCCAGTGTGAGTCTACTAATCTTGTAACTCTTCATTTTTTGTATGAAGCTTACGGAAAACTCTTCTCACTTTTGACTATTTAAAAAAAAAAAAAGAAAAGGCAGGGGGAGACAAGGAGGGGGATTAAATAGGTACAGCTATCAGCAGCCTGTTCTACCAGCTGTAAGATGATGACTACTCTAACGTACTCATTTTAATTCACATGTAAGGGAATTAATAGCTGAACAATGTGAATTTAGGAGAACAAACTATATTCCTTTTTAGAATAGTCCTATAGGCAGAAATCCTATAGTACTCTTGAATTTCATCAGTATTTGGCTATGGGTGGCTACATATTGCATTTTTTTGGTGTTAGAATGGCTGGTCTTTTTTGACCCTTTCTTTGGTGTAGGATAGTGAAGAGGCTATTTAATGTTTTCATTGTCAGGTGTTTCATGGGTACCTGCAAATATCGGCTGATTTGTACACTGTGAACTTGTCTGTTTTAGTTTCTTGACTTTGGCATAGCAGCTTCACAGAGTGTTTTTCTAAGCGGGAACATTTAGTAGCTATTTTTAATGATAAAGTGTCAGTGGTGATTTGAGAAAGTTGTACGTTGTTATGCCTTTACTCTTTGATCCCTGATATGGTGAAATATGGTCCCCGTTCCTAGAAGGAAAAAAAAAAAGTATTTTGTTTCAAGAATCTGTTCTTCAAAATTATATTTCAGTTGTTTTAAATTACGTCATCTTTTTTGGCAGGACAGTAATGGTGCTCTGTATGTGCGATCATAAATCTGTAGTTGTCCTCTCCCTCTTTCTTCCTTCTGCAATACGTTTTTCTTCTGTGGAAGATAAATGAGCACAATACTAAGCAAACCAGAAAATGAAGAAGAGAAATAGCTATTGACATCACACTTGATATCCTTAAAAGAAAACTGGCACGTTACAAATTTTATCCATCATGGTCTTAGGTAGTGATGATGTATTAAAGATCACAGAGAGAATATTTAAGTTGATATAGGTTAGGATACAGGAAATGCAAGTTGCTTTTCGGAAAGCTTAGTAAAATTTAAAAAACTAAAACAGATTGTATTTGCCACTAACTTCTAAATTAAAAAAAAAAAAAGAGATTATTTAAAAAAAAGAAGGCAAAAACAGCAAAACCCAACCAAAACATGACATAAACTCTGAATTTCCATTCCCCTGGCTCTTAAATTGAGATGCATTTCCTGTGTCTCAATCTATTTTCCAACAGGAGTTCAAGTTGGAAGTGCCAGCAAAATTTCACTGAATGAGATGAGTAACTCAGAATCATGGAAATAACAAAACAATGGCAGGTATGTTGTGAATTGACTTCAGAATTGTTTCATACTCATTCATAGTAGGTACTGGAACTTCTCTCATTTAAGTGATCCTGTAGAAGTAGCGGTAGACTACTCATTAGCACTTTTTGAGCCCAACAACACAATGCAAAAGCTATTCTAGCAAAGAAAATAGCTGGATAATATTATGTTGTGAGGGAATAAGGGATATTGTGTATGAAAGAAAGAAAGACGCATCGAAATACTTATTTCTTACCTGTCATTCGGCACTTAACATAGCTGATTTTAGAAATAATAACTATGCAGTAATCCATTCTATGTATCTTGTGTTGAGTGAGAAAAGTGAACTCAATTTATGCGTGCGCACACCAGCCTGCACTGACAACCACAAGCAAGTTCTTAGGAACAGTGGATTTTAGGATGGGGCGGAAGATAGCATTCTTTGCTGCTGTTATATATGGAAGTTTGTGTGTTTCATAAGAGTTTTCATTCCTGATTTGGACATAGTTGTCTTTTCAGACTGGGAAGTGGAATCAGAACTGTAGCAAGTATTAATTCAGTGAAAACCGTCACCAACCTAAAATGCTGCATTCAGCCCAGTGTATGAAGAGCAAACATACTTGTATGTGAACAGGCTCTCACAGAGGAGTAAGATACTGAGCATTAGCTCATCAGTAGTAGCTGTCTGTTAAAAAGTTCCTAAGTAATAAAAAACATCTGGGTTTTCTACTGTGGACTAAGCATCTTTGTAGGCAGTTGCTATGGATCACGTAAGAGCATATGAATGGAGTAGGTTTGTGTATCTGGAGGTAAATTTCTGTGTACTTCTTGGTCGCAAAGTCTGCTTAAGTGAGCCCTGCTTCCTTCATCCCTCTCCTGCCACCTTCTCAGGGTGTTTGTTACCTCTGCTGCCTCCTCTCTACCTGTACGAGTTTGTGAGATGTTACTATTACTGAATTGTCATTATTAAAACAGGTGAAAAATGTGGGGTTGGAACAAGAAGCCCAGTAATGGGAAAGGGGTTATCTGCTAGGCAGGCTTTAGTTGTAGAGAGAAGGGAACATGAAAGTGCATCCTGAGCCCTTCGTCGTGGATGAGACATGTCTATGCATAGCTGACCAACAGCTGATAATACAGAATCTCCAAAAAGGTAATTTTGCAGATCTTCATAAGGAATTTGTTTTTCAGTACCTTAAGTGCTCCAGGTATTATGTTGTAAGGATATAAATATCTTTATTAGAAAGATGTTATAGGTGATGTTTAAGTATGGGAATGACATGGTGAGGATGAATAGCAGCAGGTCTTACAGAGCCTTCTAGTATAAGGCAACTGCCAAGAACCTCGCCAAGTTCTTAAAGCAGTAAAAGAATTGAAGAATCTGAAATCTTGAGCACAATTCTCCAAACTGCTTTAACCCTGGGATATCTAGATACATGTACATAAAGCCGCTTAAGACTTCTGGGAGGGGGACGGGGGAAAGAATCATCCTTATGGCACTTCAGGAGTGCTGTTGAATGTTAAATTTAACTCTTGAGTAAATTAAAGAACAGTAAATTTGTAGCAAGTTCCTTAGGCTGTAAGTTTTAGACTGTAATTTAGACTATGGTCTAGAGTTAGTCTTATGTTTTGGAGGAGGTGGAAAAGATTTGGTAATAATAAAGAGCATGGTGGTAGTGGTTGTATCTGGAGATGTTAGCCATGATTCTGGGCAATTTCCAGTCACTCTTTCAGCATTAGAGGATCTCTATTCACAGGAAATGAGCAATCTTCCTGCTTTGCCAGGAGCAAGAGAGTGAAACTATGGTAGGTAGCTGGGCTGTAGTAGGCCCAGATTTTTAACCTGTGATCTCAGTGTTCTGTAGTCTATTTTTTGCGGAGTCCAGAACAAATAGCTATGAATAAGTTGATTTAAATCTAAGAACAATAAAATTGTTTTTCAGAAATGTACATCTCCTGTGGAAAACTTCTAGGAGTTCATGAGTCAAAATCACATAGTACGGAAATCTGGGCCTTCTCTGTAGGTAGTGCTTGCAAAAAATACTAGATGCAAAAGTACCTGTTCCGTGGTTAGTTTTATCAGCCCAATTGGAGTTCAGTGAGTGAAAGTTCCCAAACATGCATATCGGGGTTCTACTGGATTTTGCACAGTCACTAGTTTAAAGAAAGGAATATTCTTTAATTCCTGTTCCTTGATTGTATGAATTTTTTGGAGAAAATATCTGAAGAGTAGTGGCTCGACTACCTCAGATCTTTTGATCTGGAGTTCACTTGAAAAGTTTCCATCAGTCAGTGTCAGTGTTAACTTAGTAGTAGTTAATTACCATTTTAAAATGATGTTGAGCTTCAGAAATACCTGCTCTGTCCTACTACCACTTTCTTTATAAGGGAGTTTCAGACTGGGACATGTATAAGATTAACCCTGTAAGCAGTGGTACTCAAATGTTGGGTTTTGGATCAAAACCAAACCTACGAGAGCTCTTGATATCATCAAGCAGTTGGTGGGATGGTGTGATGGGAGATGCAGGAAAAAAATGCAACAGTCTTGTGACATTGTCTGACACACTGTGCTGAGTTCCGCTTTGTTGTGTGTGCCTTTTTCTTGTGGGCTCAAAAAACTCTTTTCTTCCTTGTCCCTTTTTCGAAAGAGCCTTTGAATAGTTAAGATTTGTGAAGGCTAGTCAAACATCATAAAGCAGTTAGAATTAGCAGTGTGGCTTCCTGTTAACTTAATCATCTGAAATCCCAAGATGTATCAGATTTTTTTTCTTAGAGGCTTTAGAGAAATCAAAAAAAGATAACTACCACCACAGAAAATAGAAGTATGAGTGGGATGGGTTATACGCTAGATGTATTCCACAGTTTCACAGTTCCTAATCTCTGACTGCAGTATGCTGAGCATACTACTAAAGCTACTACAGTTAGGGTTGACTGCTATCTCTGTCCAGGAAATACGATCTCTTCTACTTTTGACAGTTGCAATTGTCTGAGAGATGAGCAAAGAGTCATTGGTTTTCTAGCTGAGGATGCACAGCCAGTGCAGTAAGATACAAGACAGACATACAACCCGTTAGGTAATAAAGATTAAAAAAAAAAAAAAGTAGCATCTGTGCTTTCCTGACTCTTCACTCACGCTGGCCCCATTCCCATTCCCCCACCTGCCTCAGAATGAGATTAAAATTCCTCAGCCAAACTTGCAGAGCCTTTCAGGAGCCAAGACAAACTGTTGAGGGGAAACTGCTTGCCTCCTTTCCAAAACGCTCACTTGAAGGTTTTTGTATCTGGAAGGAGCTCAACCTTGCACTGTAGATGCTGGATCTTGATGCTTATGCAACCTTTTGCTAGGTTGAATTGTAAGGGAAGTCTTTTAACGTTTGCTTATTTTTATTGTTGTTATTCCCGAGTATAACAGCTACTGGCTGTGTTTTGGTGTGAGATAAGGGAAAAGGAGGAGGATAATTGTAGTTTTTTTTTTTTTAGAATTTTACGGTGCTGTTATTACTTTTTATCTAAAAGATTGTTATCTGAAATGTGATTGTTCCTTCTAATGCTTGGGCTGCTTTGTGGTTAGTTGAGTTATTCCCTTACTGTGCCTGATCAATAGTAACAAATGTTTTACAAGTTCAAATTAAACCTTTCAGGGATTTTATTTCACCAGTATTTATATTCATAATTTTAACTGTTCTTTTGTGTATATGGACAGGACCTTCATCTTCTAAGATACAGAGGCATCGACTGTTACACACAGCCATAGTTTTGACTACCAATAGCTTAATTTGTGCAAGTCTGTTTCTTTTCAGACTGGTTTTTTTTATAGTGTAAGGAAGGTGGTGATTTAATTTAAAAAGAGCGGGGAGAAAAATCAACAGAATCCAGTTTGTATGCAAGAAGTGTAAGTTGCCCAATGTCTTGATGGCTTTGAAAACAAAATTGACTGTTCAAGCTCTGCTAATGCTGTTTATTAAAAAACACAAATAAAACCGCAGAAACATATCTCCTTATTTAAAGGAGATTGCAAGTTTCATAACTTATTTTTGTGAAATATATTGTTTCAACAACTTTTTCCTCCCTGTTTTAGTGGTCCGAAATGACAGGAATGAAGATCTTAACTCAGACTGTGATACCTAGTCAACCAAAACAACATGAATTAGAAGAAAAAAAAGGTAAAGCGTCACATACAGATCTGTGTCAGAATTGTATTTTCTGGGTGGAAGACAGTTGACATGTGGGCTACATGTTTTGTTTTGTTTTTTTCCTTCTCCTAATTAGACCTTGTTTTGAGAGGTAGTTTCCTTCTACACCACAGTTTGAGGGGTATGAAACCACTCTGTGTGCGGGTGGTGTGTGTGGTTGGTTGGTTGGTTTGTTTGATTTCCACTCCATGTAAACACTCCAGAGTAAGTGTAAAACTTGGCCTTAACTGAGGTAGGAAACTTCCACTGGCAGACTTGCTTGTGTAGAAGGATGTATTTGGGCAGTGTTTTGGGTGTACTTGTCTTCTACTGGTAGAACTCAAACATGAAAGCTTCCTTCACATACCAAATCCTAGTTTTGTGTACATACGCGTGTTGCTTCTGTTTATGGGAATACAGGTCTGAGTTGCATCCTCTGATCCTATACAGGTCAGTCACCTGCTATTGGAGCATCCATGGTATACGATCTTTATCTTTTGTAAGATTATTGCAGGACAGTTGTTCTTGTGCCAACATCATCCGTAAGGTTTGTTCCTCGTGCTTTTCAGCGTGTATCACTTCTTGGATCACTTATGTAGTGCTCATTGCTCAGTCATAAAGTACAATCGTATCGTTCTTTGATAGGTTGATAGATTAAACAGGTCAAACATACATTAACGAAAAAAGGAGTAGATGTTCGCAATTTCCAAAATTATTTTCAAAATCCTTCTCTGCATCACTTCCTGTTTAATTCTTCATTCTTAACTGTATCACAGGAACTGTGACAGTGCTCTGGATTAGTTGATCTGTTCATTCAGAGACAGATTTTTCTTTTAATTTATCCCTGTAATCAAGTGTCTCAGATATTTATCTGCAATCCTTAAGTCATCTCTGGAGTTTTTATTCTGTTGTTCTTACCACCTGATAATTGAAAGAATTCTGTTAAATTTTATTTGAGCCTTCCGTATTTTTCCTCAGCCGGGGAGGTTACCATCCCCAGGTTTTCGAGGATGCTGTCATTCTACGTTGTCGTTCATTACAGACTTGGAAGGTGAGTGTTTTTTTGTATTCCCTTTTAGGGTCAGGTTCCTATCTCTTATTCTTGATCCTGGTGGACAGACTAGCCTTCTCTTGTTTGGCTGTAGTTTATGGCAGGCTTGTCCATTTCTGGCTATTTCTGTTGGTGATGGCTATCCGATCCTTTCTCATCTACTCTGCTTTTGCTGTGTAGAACCTATTCTATTTTATAAAATGTTAACTTTCTTCTTTTCATCAGGTTGTGATCTCTTGTATTAGTTATCACTTTGGATCTTCTGTCATGGCTAACCGCTCTGTGACTTCTTCCTGAGTCTCCTCTATGTTTTTTTAATGGCAAACTTGTTCCTATGCTTGTTTACAAAGAGTTTTTGTTTGTTTGCCAATTATCATAGCTGTTTACCTCAAAGTGAAACAACTTCAGAGGTCCTGTTGTTCAGCTGCCTGTAAATTGTATTATCATCATCTTTTTTCTCTTCTGTCATATTGTGAAATTTCCTTTCAAACTTCATTTTATCCGCAGCTGTACCTCTCATGCTAGCTAATAATTTCCATTTGATGTCAATTCAGTTATAACTTGCATATGCCTCCAGCTGCCTGTCTCTGTAGTTTTTCTTGAGGGCTTTCTGTTGCTGCCTCAGTCACTTCCTTGCATTTTGTTGCTCCTGTTCACATCTCTTCAAACAAGGGGAAAACCACCAATCCATGAGTTCTCGAGTTTGTTCATTTTCTTTAAATTGTTGTTAAGGTTAACCCTTTTACTCACTTAGTGTCAACATTTATTACAGTCACTTGTGGTCAAAGGCAGGAAAAATCCCATTCATACTTGATTGCAAGGCCTTTCCTGTCAACAGAATACAGCCTGAGAAGGAAACTAGTGTCTAAATTACAGTCTTAAAGGTGTTCCTTTATTTCTAAGCAGCAAACTTCAACACCAAGGACATGAAATAAGGTTTGTCCCTTCTTGCCCAAATGTCCACCCGGTATTGGGTCAGATATGGTTTAATCTGAGGCTATGGTAGACTAAAGGTAGTGGAACAAGTCAAATATTTTAACATGCATGTTCCAAGCATAGCCCTCAACTCTTCTTAAATACATATAAACCCTTCAAACTAGTTCATTGGTATTAACGTTTGCCAGTTTACGTGCAGCTTATTTTTAGTGGTTGAAAGATATCAACTTAATAGCTCCAAGAAAAGAGAGACAGTTTGTTTTCATGTTACCTTTCCCATAAACACGTGCCACCTTGATGGTGTGAATTATTACTATTTCAGAGAAATTTCCTTCTAGGATTTCACAACCAACTTGTGATATTTCTCTGTTAGTTAGACTCCCTGTACCCTGCTCTATCTGTGGTGCATGGTTGGATTCATTTTTGGTTGTGTCCTTTGTACTAAAACAACAGAACTCCTATTAGGTTAGAAATAATGCTCTATATTTACTGAGCCAGTTTGATAGAGTGAATTGAAATGCTCTGTAGTTGACTGCAAGCACCCTGTTTCAAGCTGAGACTTTAATACCTGTTCTTTTCACACGCAGTTCTACCCTTTTGCAAGAAATCAAAGTCAGTTCTCGTATTCCTGGCTTGAGTGTCTTAAGCATCGATGTTGAAATAACTGGACAATTTTGTGTATTTACAGAAAGAATCAAATACAGCAGAGACTTCCTTTTAAAACTTTCAAGTGTTTCACTCTCTCAGAAGAAGCCAAAGTTTCTTCCTGATCATCCAATTGTACTTGAAAAACCAGTAAGTGCATTTTGCATATTAAATTATAAAAGTGCACGTGGAGATTTTGACTACTCATTTGATAAGAAAAATATTTCTTCAAACCAGTCTGCCAAGCTGATAAAACCTTTAAAAGACTTACTGTGCAGTTATAGCTCTGATGCTGTTGTACGTTAAGTTCCTGAAAAAGTATTCAGCATCTTATCATGACAAGAATTATACAATGGAAGAAGGAGGTTTATCTTCAAGAAAACAATGAGATATGTGTTCCCAAACTGGGGTCCATATGAAATGATAGTACATTGTAGCATTCTACGTTAATTCCAGCTCTGTTTCTTTAAAATAAAAAAACAAAAACCAACCAAAAAAAACTTGATAAAATTCTGGTTTGGTGAAAGCTTAATCCTAGTGTGGTTGGGTGGTATGTGTTTGTTACCTAAGATCAATGTCCACTGCAAAGGAGATGTTAATGAACTTAATGCAATTTTGTGTTACTGTTGTCTGTAGTCAGTTTTTCTGCAGAAGGCATTTTCTGTAGTTGTTAGGGAGAAATGGATGATGATTGTGCAGGATATTCAGGAGTGATGCCTTAAACATGGAGATGAAATAATCCTTAAATACTTCATGTACTAAGAGGAAAATTATTATGGTTCATATTCCATAGATCACATATGAGGAATAACTCTGGTCTATAAATGTTACAGTATCAAATCAGGCTGCATACCAGGCTGCTATTGAGGTCAGGGTGTATTCCTTCTTGAAACAGGATCCTTATCAAGGAGAACCTTTTCCCGAATAGGTACTGTGTTAGCTTCAATTTGAGGCAGTTTTTAAATTTTTAAATTTCTGTTATCTAGAAGTCAAGTTAAACTAGTATATGACAGCTGTCACCCTTCCATAATCTCATTTCTTACATCATCTTTCTGGTATTTTTATCCTCAAGATGATATCAAGCTTTACTTTTTGAAAACCTGCTCCCAGGGAGGGAAGGTTCAGCACTTGTTTTTTGTGGTGGTGATTTTTTTTTTTTTTCCCCTCCTTCCTCTTCTCCTGTATCTTGAGTTTCCTAATGGAATGCATATGTATGTGTGGATTTAATTTGATTGTTTGAAAGGTTTTTGTATCTTATTAGTTAAGTGAGTGGTCTGGGATTTTTTTGTGTGTAGTGGTTGTTGTCCTTAGTGGGGTTTATTTTGGTTTGGTTTTTGTCCCCCCGCCCCCAAATAAGGAAAGAGTCTTACAGTTTGGAAAGTAACTATAGTGACTAGTAAAAAACTTAGCAAAACTGGAAACACAACTTGGTGCTTTTTAATAGTAGTGGAATTAATGAAACATCTTAGTCTTGCAAAAAGTTTCAAGACGAAACTTTCCCCCTAAGTTTCCAATGGTGTCATTGGTAAATATGTCTTCATTCAGCTGTATCCCATTAATAGTCTGTCCTGAATCTTTAATCTTGAGGAAATTCATTTTTAGTTGAGACAGTCACTTTCATGTAAATAGCACTCCAGGACTGCTCACTACTTGGGTGGACTGTTGGGAGATGGCAGGGAAGGAGGTCTGTACACTTGCGCACATATGCATACGCACAGCACAATTCCAAAACTCAATGAGTTCTTAGAAAATAAGGCTGAGGAATAACATACTCCAAAAGTGATTTGTGCTGGTTCTTGCACTAATTTGGTTTTAGTGTTTTGAAGCATCAGATTCATAAAGGAAGTAACGCACCTTGTTCCTGTTAAATTCAGTGGAAATGAGGCTCTTAAGGCGTGTAGATGCTGAAAAAAAAATCTTGCTTACATGGAATAAAAAAAATTCTGTTCTCGAGTATGCTTTCACGTGGCTATGTTCATAGATATATGAGGATCCACCCACAAATGGGATTAGTGAAAGACTGGACTCTTAAAATTGCTCATGCCATAACTAAATTGCAGATAATTAGGGTAGAGGGAAAGGAGGACAGTAAAACCTGGTACAAGCCAAGATAGTTTGCATGTGTTTTAAGAGCCTGTTTTGGTACAGGAGGGTCTGTTTTTATCTACAATGATGTAAGCGTCTCTGGTTATATACAGTCCTGTTGTCTTTAGACGTAAGACATCTTACTGTATCTAATGTGTGAGGGCTGCTTTTAAAATCTTTACTCTCCTTTGTGTTAGTAGTATTTGTATAAACCCCCGCACCCAAACGCTAATTTATTATACAGATAAAAATAGGTGCATTTTCTGATTGTGTATTTTCAGATGGAGAAAGTTTCTGGGAGTATCGAATGCCTTTAAAAAGAGAGATGCTGTTACAGTTAGTGGCCTGTGCGTTGCATTCATCCCATAAAACATTTTATTTTTGGGAGGAAATGGGGGGAGCAGCTGTACTTGTACTAAGCTCAGTATTTGAACTAAGCTGATGCCGTTGTGCTGACACAGTCTGCCAGAAAGATTTGAGGTTAATAAATATTGATGATTAATGAAGGTATAACTATTTGGATTAACTTGAAATATGCCAAATCATTAAATATACGTGGAGTAGAAAAGGTTTCTAAGGAGACGCATGGAAACTTGGTTTAAATAACTTCACGCAACTGAAGTAATTTTGGGATTTGTTTGTCTTACAGGAGAACAGCAACACTTCTGTTGATTTATGCAAGAAGTGATAGGTTGTTTGGAAGGTGAGAGATCCATCAGCGAAGGACCTACATGTGAAGTAGATCTTTACAGAAGATTTTTAAAGGTACTTGAGTGCCTACAGATGAAAACAGGACCTTATGAAATCTACGGAAATGCCCATTTCTGTCTGTAATAGCCTGAATGCTTTGAAAGTCAAACCCTTAATTTGCAATGCCTGTGATAGTAATACAATTATAGTGAAAGTAAATAATTTTACATTTCTCTGTGGCAGACTTTTTTCCTTCAATCAGCTGTGTTATCTAACCTTATAGTTTATTTGACTGTAAACTTTAAACCAGTACTTGAGTTTTTTTGGTGCTTGTTCCCTCTCCCTTCCTTGGCAGTAGTAATGGAACAATAATTACCAGCTGTATCAAACTTCAAATGACTTAGGGGTACGTACTTCTCTAGCTTAATTTTTGGGGAGGTCAAAACTTCACTTGGGTTTTCTCTTTGCTTGTTATCTCCCTGTTGACACGAGAGATGCCTTAATCTTCTATGTATACATGCCTTCTTTCAAGCTATGAAATATCTTGTTACTAACATGTTCCCTGAAACTAAAAACCCTTCACTGATGGTCAGTACAAGAGAACCGTCCAAGTTCTCTTTAGAGAATTTCTTAAAGTTCTTCAGAAACAGCAGACAATATTATTTATGACTTTTCAAAGTAGGAATAATGGGAAATACTCAAGAACAATACATCACTTACCGCTTAATCACTTGTCTCATAGGGAAAAGGTGTATACTAATACATAGTGGATGGTGTAACTTTTTTCTTAACTTAGAATAGTGTTTAAAAAAAAAGTGGAGAGCAGTAGTTTATTGTGTGTTTTTTGAAAACATGTTTTCAGTTGGCAGCCTTCAATAGTAGTTGTTTTTTATGAATATAATTGTCTTCAAAATTTTCTGAATTCAGACCTGCCATAACAACCTTTTGATGCCAAAGGCAATTTTTTAACCTTTCTAGCAAATGATAGTGGAAACTAAATTGGAGTATATTGGATAGAATTGCAGTAGCACTAAAAACTTGCAAGTTGCACTTGATAAATAGTAGATTTTTTTTTTCCTCCCTGAAACGATGCAAATAAGCTTGTGCTACAGATTCTGTTTCTTTTATATTGAGCAGCAATTTGATAATCGCTTTAAATCCTGTTAATGTGAATGAAAATTATGTTGCAAGTGTATTCTATTTGTATGTTTACAAGTCATGTTACAAAGAACTGAAATCTGCTCAGTTTTTTGTCACTAGGAGTGTTTTAGAGTGAATAATACGGATCATTTCCCCAGTATGTGTTGAAGGTTATTCCTATATGAAGCTATCTCAAAACTCTTACGTGGAACCTCCTCAAATATGTTCTTGTCTGTGATTCATTAAACTTGTTTACTAGGAAATATATAAAGGAGAAAAACTGTTGGGAGATGTATGACCTAGTAGAATTTTTTTTTTTTCCAGTGTCTTTCCGTGAAGTTCCTCTCCCAGAAAGACCTTCAAAGATATGTTTGTTCATGTTTGCTTATGGTTTTATATGTTATAAAACAATTTCTATTTTAGACTTTCTTCTTTGTTTAATGAATGCTAGTTTAAAAAAATTATGTATGGTGAGACCTCTTCTTAGCTAAGATTTCATGTTCTCTACCATTCATGCTTGCTCTTAGCCTTCAGTTAGTTGATGTTTCTGTTTCTCATTTATGCATAACATACTGACCCATGAGAAGTAAGATGGTCTAATGTGTGCCCAATGAGCTCCTATTTCCTGGACATCCCAGACTGCAAAAAGCCCTTTATTTGAAATCTTGGTCAGATCACCGTCTACCCTGGATGTGTGCAGGGCAGGGGGAGGTATCTGGAGAACATTTGAATCATTCGTTCTGACATTATTGCAACACAGTGCTAAAACCTCTGCAAGTGTGCCTGGGGAAGATAGCTTACACGCCTCAACTCTGAAAATTGTGTTTATTCTCCATTTAGAGGGCAGTTCAGTGTGGATACTGTGGCGTTACCTTTTGCAGCCTTTTCTGGAACGGGCTTATTTTGGATTTTACATAATGAGTACTGCCGCTTTAAGATACCTTTTGGCATGTCAGGAAATATGCTGACTGTCACTTCTTTCCTGACCGGTTGAACATAACCTGCTTCTGTCTTTAGAAGCAAATGGTTTATTGAAGATGTGGGGTCAATCTGGTGACCCTGCTATCTTTGCAGACTGCAGGCAGTTGATGGGTGGATCAAACTTCTGTAGAAGACTCTGCATTACCCGAGGCATT